CCAATGTAGATAAGACAGTTGCTGCGAGTTCAAACAGGTCAGTCGATTCCCGCAGCATGAGACTCAGAGTTTGATCGGGCATGCCTACTGGTCCCTGTTGTTGTCTTCACCGCCCCAGGCGTAGGAGACTGTGTCGTAATCGGGATAATGGTCGTCCTCGAAAATTTCGAATGAAAGGTGGATTGGGTACGTGGTATCGGATTTGCTAGGCGTTGCAGAAATACATGCGAGTCGGAACTCGTTCGGCATTAAGGGTCTCTCATAGACTTGATTTCCATGGCTTGCTGGGGAAACTGTCGGCACTACTGAAGCTTTTGGAATGTCGGACTTTGTGCTATCATTCGACGTATATGATACCGAAGGTGGCCACCATAGATTGAGACGTCTTTCCGGCTCGTCTGGAGGCAGCGGTTCCAATGAAGAGTGCGTATCCTTGCGAAGGTGTCGCATCTCTTGTGCTGACTTGCCGCATCCTCTGCAAAATGGGAAGCCATCATCTGCGACATGTACGTCCGGCTGGTGACAGGTGGATGCGTGCCATCTCATGTTGAAGATGGTCGCCAAGTATGATGAGGGCAGGAGGAGTCAGGTATTGCGAGAGGTCAAGCGGGGTAATGTGCAAGATTCCTGGGGGTTCAACAAGACCAACAGAACCAACAAGACCAATTAGAAATCACAGAAGTCAATAAGCGATACGCAGTGGGGAATCTCGCAGGTTCACCTGATGCTTGTGTTGGTTCTGTGATCAGGTGTTTTGTAGCCTTGCGACTGTGGAAATTTCCCAATCGTCTCATACACAGCGGAGACAAACACCACAAAAGGATTCAGAGGATACAAATGTGTCATATGTAGACGAACAGTAAAAAACCTGGTCCTCATAACTCTTACATTGGTATTCTGTTTGATGACAAATTTGCCTCATTTCTGATATCTTGTGCTAGAGTTTCTAAAAACAAAGTGGCTCACTGTTTCGTATGGAAGTTAGAAGAGACACCGATGACGTGTTATTTAAGAAAACAACCTTCTTGTCCATCAGATATCATAAAAAGGCAGAATCATTTTCAGATTAGGCAACTAACACAAAGGATGGATGTTAAATTTGATGAAAAATGATTGCAATGCCTAACTCGAAAACACCGTTACGATCAGAACTCGGAGCACCATGCCGTTAACTATAGTCGCCGCGAATTCAGCCTTCAATTGTCCTTTTGTGAGCCGCCAAGTTCACGGCTACACAGTATGCCGTTCAAAAGTGCATTTGTTTCTTGTTGGTTTCCCATCCGGCCGGCACAACCGGATAAGTGGATACGGCTTGTATGCCTTTCAGGGGTAGTCGCAATTTCACTGCAAGTTAAGACGTTTGCCGAGATAACCGAATACTGAATCTAGTAGTTAGCCCCCAAGGAAAGTTCTTGAGCGAGGTCATTGTAGGGCGCGGCTTTGGAAGTCGGCGCGGACGGCCAAGCGCGCGCGAGAGCTTCTTGATCGCCCCGGATGCCGAAGCCGATACCACCCTTCCGAATTCATTCTCTCGCCCTTCAACTTCGTTGGTTGTAGGGCCTTGGTGCAGTCATTACTGGAGCCAAGTGAACAAAGCTTTTCCGCCCAATTACAAACAATCAATTAACCTTCTTTAGTGTAATGACTCGACTCAGGTACACCCCTGTCCAACTCGCACATGGCCAGACACCAATGAACAATCGTCGCCCCTTCATCTCACTGTGAAAGGTCCAAAAACTACATGAAGCGATGATTTCCTTGGCTAAACGGTGTTTGCTAAGTAGTATCGACACTTCGATCCTCTTCAAGTCCTGACAGGCACAGGTACCAAATATGCCTCGACACTCCTTTCTAAAGTCAATCGTTTTTTCTTCATTCGTCATCACAGCTCTGGCTGGCAGAGGCGACGTCAAGCACCCCAAGCCTTACCATGAGGTGCCGCAACTAGCCAGACATGACTCTTTTGAGCCTTTCAGCGCGCCCACCCTGGACCATCTGAACCCGCGCCAAGAGAAGACGGCCGACGGCCTCACCGCCATCGACACCTTCACTTACAACAGCGAGACATGGACGGCCTACGAAGACCTCACGCGGTTCGACGGCCCTCTGGTTCTTGTCTCAGCTTCCGGCACACGCCGCGAGATCAAGCGATACGTCGAGGCCTCAAGCGACGAGGCCGTCTCGCTCAACCGGACCGTTGACGCGTACTTTGGTCTTGACCCTGCCAACGATGTGAATCTTAAGCAGAACGACGTGCTGGCGGAGCGCCTCCTGAAGGACGGCGAGCCTGTCGAGACGCATGTCCGCGACGTCATCGATCTGTCCTTCCTGCCGTGGGACACGTACCTCGGCAACATTCAGGCGAACGACACCATGGCGCTGGATTGGCAGTCTACGACGAAGAACTACGCCCCGTGGAACGACCTGCTCGAGGCCGCGGATGGCACGCACTCCAATTACAGCTTTGACGGGCTCCTCAGTGGCTGGATGCCCGCGTGCCGCAAGATCTACCGCGGGCTCAACGACGCGACGGACTGGGTCGACATCACCGCCTTCGCCGACGTCGACTCGCCCGACCCGGAGATCGTCCACGTCTGGTTCTCCATGACGTACATCAAGGGCGGCGTCGTCCGCGCCCACAAGTTCGCCCTGGACTACAAGCAATTCCTACCCCTGAAGGCACACCCCACCGCCAACGACTTCTACCCGGCGCTCATCCGCTTCACGGACTACTGGACCTCCCACGTCAAGGACGGCCTGTCCCTCACACTTCCTGATGAAACCTGGGCAGACATGGGCAAGCACGCCTTCGCCGCGGAGCTCGTCAACCGCGGCGGCGGCGTGTCCCCACGCTACGGCGCCTTCGAGCGCGACTACGGCGGCTCCGAGTACGACGGCTTCCAGGACATCCTGACCAGCTCGCTCATGGCGAACCTCGCGTGGGGCCGCTTCGAGCAGGCCAAGGCTGTGCTGGAGAATTACATGGACTGGTACGTCTACGACGACGGCGCGATCAAGATGCGCGGGCCCGCGGTGCCGCAGTTCGGCCTGTCGCTGTCCTTGATCGCGCGCTACGTGCAGTACACCGGCGATGCGGCCTTTGTGGATAAGTACAAGGCCAAGATCCTCGCGTGGGTGGGCATGCTCACGACGCGGCAGGACGAGAACCTGAAGCTGCCGGCGACGGACCCGTACTACGGCCTCATCTCCGGCTGGAGCGAGTCTGATGCGGCGCTGCGGAGCGATGCGTGGCGGTTTGAGAAGCCGTATTGGAACAATGCTGCCTTCGCCGCGCGCGGGTTGCGGGATCTGAGCAAGATTGAGGCGTTCGCGGAGCAGGCCAAGGACTGGAACGAGCGCGCGGATAGACTGGTCAACCAGACGGCGGTGACGCTTGATAGATTCGTTCAGCGCAACTTCACCCCGCCTTATGTGCCTGTGCTCCCGAACGAGACGACGCATGTGCTGGAAGACCTGGCGGAGAAGGGGGATGCGTCGTCGCAGTGGTGGCCTCACCGTGTGTACTCCGAGCTGTTGCAGGCGTCTGTTCTTTCGCCGAACCAGACGGACATGGTGATCGACTCGATGAGGGCATACGGCATCACGAGTCTGGGTGTCGTGGCGAACGTGACGCCCTTGAAGTCTGATACGCGAGATATTCTAGGCTTCATCTCGTACGGCTATGCGTTGAGCCTACTGCTCCAGGACCGCATCGACGAATTTGTGCTGTTCTTGTACACCCACAGATACCACGTGCACAACCGCGGCTTGTGGCTTGCCGCTGAGGTCGCCGGCACCGGGGGCGGTTCGAGCACGTACTGCCAGCCGTCCGAGTTCACCATCCCCATCCTGCTGCGAGCTGCGCTGCTGCTGGACCACCCGGACGACGACGCCTTGTTGGTTGGACGGGGCGTGCCGAGGAAGTGGCTCAGCGAGGGCAAAGTCGCGGTGCAGAGGGCCCCGACGAAATGGGGACTCGTCGATCTTGACATGCAGCTGGACGAGAAGGCGGGTACTGTCACCACGACTTTGGGTTTTGATAAGGCGCCCCCGACGGAGGTGAGAGTCAAGATGAGGGTGCCGGAGGGTCGTCAGCTGAAGAATGTTACGGTTGGTGGTGCGGCGACGGAGTTCAAGGGGGAGGAGGTTACGCTGCGTCTTGGGTCGGATGCGCGCAATGTTACTGTCGTGGGAAGCTTCTTGTAGACATCCGCAGAACTGTCATCACGCACGCCTTTCCTTCAATTCAGTCTCGAAACAATTTCTAGCTCGCATGTGGCCATGGAAGCACTGGACTCTATCCTCAAAGCACACAGTAGAACATGACCTCCCCTGAATGGGTTCGCGTCTTCCCATAATGACGCAGAGATGCTTAGTGAGATGATATGGGAATGTTGGGCGGCCAGGCCAAATGTAGTCGTGCGTGTTGTGAACTTCTTGTCATCCCCAACTTGAATATGCTCATTCATCGGACCACATCCCCCTCTCAATATCTCTGTGCAGCCTCTTGTGTGTAGCTAATTCCTCCGTCGCTTCCCGTGCTCGCTGGTGTTTCTTTTCGAGAATTGCGTTTATCGCTTCCCTATCAGCTTCGTCCAATTTAGATAAATCGACACCCTTGGGGTTTCTTTTTGAGACTTTCTTCGGTTCGTCCTCTGTGGGATCGCGCCCTTTGGCTTTGTCCTTTTTAGACACGGCGGCTTTGTTTTTCGAGCCTTTCTTCGATTTCTCCTTCGAGGGCTGGCTCTCTTTAGTCTCTGCCGCGGAATCCGTGCTTCGTGTACACATGCCGCGTCTTGGGGCGTTCCCATCCAACGGGCCTCTTCTGAGATGACCCCTTTCAGCTTGCGGTCTCTTTCCTCGTCCTTCGGAGTGGTCTCCTGCTGATGGCTTCCCTCCCGGCGCATCTCTTCGCGAGAAACCCCTGCCATCTCGACTTTTCTTCATTAGCCCCTCGTTCCTTGCTGTTGCTGGACCAGCCTCTTTGGACAGCCGTGTCTTCAAAGGAGTTTCCCAGAAATCTTGAGGGAATTCTGCCAAATATCCCTGTAGCTTCCAGAGCACAAGCTGCAGAGCTATTGACCGTCGCTTGCCCAACAGGATCAGCGAGTTGTCCTTGAACAAGGAATACTGCCTTAAAGTCGCCATGTGTTCGGGTCCCAGCAGTTGGTTGAGGTCATGGACGGCCAGCTTCTTCTCCCACTTGACGTCCGGGACGTCAAAAGTAGCAAATTGCTCCAAAGACTCCGGGCCGTATTCGTTTGGCGGCATCCACAGCAGACACCCACGCTTCTGCATTTCGTGTACGTCCCGGAAGCTGCATGGCCTCAGATACCCACGGTCAGCGTCTTCCGACAGCCGCAAATAATACAAGATGGTGTTGACCGCTTGACGCCTCAGATTCTCCAGCACGAAGTTGTCCATGTCTTGGCGCCATACGATCTGGTTCCTTTCGGTTTTCAAGTTCGCCCGCCTGGCGAAGACAGCCTTGGAGGTTCCAGAATATGGGCTCGAACCCGGCTTTTGCAACATGTTGTAGATTACCCGTTTCCTGGCCATAACGTAGCCCGAAGGCGACCCCATCATGGGTTTCTGCTCTTGCGCTCCTTCGCCAGCACCTGGCTCTTGCTCTGCTGTATCATTCTCTGGTGCCGCCGATTCAATGTCCCCCGGGATTGCCCAAAACTTGCCGGTTTCCAAGTTCTGAACGGCGTTGAACTTTTGGTGGAAGTAGGAGGGGAGACGTTTTCTAAAGACCTGACATATTCGGACGGGAGATGCCAAGGCATGAGCTGGGAAAACCTCGTTAGCTGCGTGACCAGAATTCAAGCCAGCTGGGCACAACAGACCATATGCATTTTCCTCAAGTTTCCTCCTCGCTCTCTCCTTTAGGTCCTTGACTTCGCCTTTATTCGCCCTCCCCTTGTGATGCCTCCACCTCTTGGTAGTCTCTACGAAGTCTGGATCCATGAGGGGTGACATGGGCAGCTCGCCAACCGACGTGCTGATCGTTTTCTCCTCGGCGTCAAGCCTGATCTTGTTGCCTTCACCATCTTCCCCCAGGCCGCGATCGAAGTCGGCAGCCAATTCGTTCCTCTTCGTTGCGATTCGCTCCAGATCTTTGGGGGAGAAGTTCGCGATGGTTCGACGGCTGCCGAGGGCGGAGAGGAGGCGACGGTTCATGGCGACGTCTGTCCCTACTGTGCGGGAAGTCATCGTGAACCGTCGAAATCTGGCGCAGAGTGATGCTGCGTTGGTCGATTGCGACAATGACGTCTGAAGATTTGGGGAATCGAGCAGCTTTACACGCTTCGGGACATTTTTTAGGCGAGAGGCGCGTTAAAGCTCGGAGCTCGGGGGTTCCCCGCAGGGGGGTCACAGCAGCAAGCTCCTGCCGCGCCGCCTGCACCGCTGGGCGCGCACAAACGTCACCTCCACTTGCCGCTACCAGCCGCATCGCATTCCATTCCTTCAGCTTCAACACCTGCTTTTCAGTGTGCGCAGCAACCCTTTTTGCGCCGTCATGAACTGCCAGCGCACCCTCTTTCGGTCTCTGCGGGCCGCAGCGCCCCTGCGACGACATGCGAGGGCATTCACCAACTTCCCCGTCCCCCCGATGATGGGAAGCTCGCCACCGGCCGGAAACATTCCCCTGCCGTACATCACCGAGGTCTCGGTTCGTAGCACATGGTCTTGATGGTTTGGATTCGAGGAGATGGCTAATCGAGTAGTCCAACGGCTGGAGGACATGTCAGTACTGCAAACCGTGCGACTGAAGTTCGACGCTGACGGAGTAGGCAGACGACATCTTCTCCAAGCTTCTACAGGTACGGCCCTACGATTCCCCAATCTCCGAGGCGAGCGGCGACTGACGGCGGGCAGGAACGAATTGTCTGCCTTAATGGCGCGATCGACGACACGGTGTCCGCATCAATAGTTGCCCAGCTGCTGTGGCTCGAATCCGATAGCCCAGACAAGGCCATCACGATGTACATCAACTCGCCTGGAGGATCAGTCTCGTCAGGTTAGATGGCCGAGCCCCGGCGGGGAGAACAAGGCTGACGGACTTAGGACTTGCAATCTACGATACAATGACATACATCAAGTCGCCTGTCTCGACAGTATGCCTCGGCGCCGCGTCTTCCATGGCTGCGCTGCTCCTGACGGGAGGCGAGGCTGGCAAGCGTTACGCACTCCCTCACAGCTCCGTCATGATCCACCAGCCCCTCGGCGGCACCCAGGGCCAGGCGTCGGACATCCTCATCTACGCGAACCAGATCCAGCGCATCCGCAGACAAATCAACGAGATCATGAGGCGCCACATCAACCAGTCCTTTGAGCATGAGAAGTTCAACCTGGAGGAGGTCAACGACATGATGGAGCGCGACAAGTACCTGACCGCCGAGGAGGCCAAGGAGATTGGCGTGATTGACGAGATTCTGACGCGCAGGGAGGAGAAGGACAAGAAGGAGGAGGGGTCGGCGGAGGAGCAGAAGACGAAGCCATAGAGCCGCGAAGCACACATTGAATGAGCCGTCACGCTGTCTGTGTGAGCGCTCTGAAACAGACGTCATGCTCTGGATACCCACCCAACGAAACGATTACGGGATCGGATTATGAGGATTATGGAGGTTGTATGCGCGTTGCCGGGTAGCCATTACCCACATCGCGGACTTGGATTCGGCCTGAAAAGCGGGTCTGGTCCGGAACCGGAAGCATAGCGGGCTTTAGTGGAAATAAGACGTGGAAGCTAGAGCTGGATGTGAGAGAATTGCATAGTAGGTATGGCCTTGATGTGATTGAGTTATTGTGAGTTAATATGAGAAAAGTGAAAGGGAAAACGTTTGGTTGAGCCGGCGATTAACTCTCCAGGGCTGGCTGATGCTTGTCTCTCTCGCTCACCTTGCTCACCTTCCTCACCTTGACAGGCCACCACCTCAGCTCCTACACCGGCCCCTCGGCGTGGGCGTCACCGGGGCCACCTCGGCCAGCCAATCAGCAATTTCGTATTTCAATGCGGGGAGTGCGCCGGCGGGGAGCTCCAGAAATTTTACGCAGCCGACATCGCCCCAAATTTCCTGGGGGGTGGGACATGGCCTACGGGTATGGACCTAGGTCAAACTATCTTCAACTTCGTGTGTGCGCCGTGTCCCTGTGACTGTCCCTGTGATCTCAGGTCTTTCTCTACACCGCACCAGCCTTTCCGTGACTCACCTCCTCACCCTCACACCACCATAAAAAGATCCCGAGTCGAGAGGACGGGCAATGAATTGAGGCCTGACTTACTTCAATCGACACGACTTACAACTCTTTTCTTCCCCCTCTCCGCCCCTCCTCCTCCGCATTCGCTTGAATATTGGGCCGGCGGTCCCTTTTCGACGCAATGCTCTCCCGGTGCATCGCCCGCCAGTCGACAGCTCTCAGAGCTGCGACGAGGCATTCGTTCGCGAGCAGCCATGCGTATGCTACCCAATTGACCCTATAACATGACCCAATCGCTGACAATGACTCTCCCCGGATCAGCCGCCTCCTCTCCAACACCGCCGCCCGTCGCGCCGACGACAGCAAACTGAACAAGGTCTCGGCGACAATCACCCAGCCCAAGTCCCAGGGCGCCTCCCAGGCCATGCTCTACGCCACCGGCCTGACGGAGGACGACATGAACAAGGCCCAGGTCGGAATCTCCTCCGTCTGGTATGAGGGGAACCCCTGCAACATGCACCTGCTCGACCTGTCCAACCTCGTCCGCGACTCCGTCCGCAAGGCCGGCCTGATCCCCTACCAGTTCAACACCATCGGCGTCTCGGACGGCATCTCCATGGGCACCAAGGGCATGCGCTACTCGCTGCAGTCGCGCGAGATCATCGCCGACTCCATCGAGACGGTCATGAACGGCCAGTGGTACGACGGCAACATCTCCCTCCCCGGCTGCGACAAGAACATGCCCGGCGTCGCCATCGCCATGGGCCGCGTCAACCGCCCCTCCATCATGGTCTACGGCGGCACCATCCAGCCCGGCTGCAGCAAGGCCGGCGAGTCTATCGACATCGTCTCCGCCTTCCAGGCCTACGGACAGTACATCACCGGCGAGATCACGGAGGAGCAGCGCTTCGACATCATCCGCAACGCGTGCCCCGGCAGCGGCGCCTGCGGCGGCATGTACACCGCCAACACCATGGCCACCGCCATCGAGACCCTCGGCCTGACCATGCCCGGCTCGTCGAGCAGCCCCGCCGAGCACCCCGCCAAGAAGGCCGAGTGCGAGACCATCGGCGCCGCCGTCCGCAACATCCTGAAGGAGGACATCCGACCCCGCGACATCATGACCCGCCAGGCCTTTGAGAACGCCATGGTCGTCGTCAACATTCTTGGTGGCAGCACCAACGCCGTCCTGCATCTGCTTGCTATTGCTGACTCCGTCGGCATCAAGCTTACCGTCGACGACTTCCAGGCCGTCTCCGACCGCACCCCCTTCCTCGCCGACCTCAAGCCCTCGGGCAAGTACGTCATGGCCGACATGCACGACATCGGCGGCACCCCGGGCCTGCTCCAGTTCCTCCTCAAGGAGGGCCTGATCGACGGCTCCGGCATCACCGTCACCGGCAAGACGATGAAGGAGAACGTCGAGAACGTCAAGGGCTTCCCGGACAGCCAGCAGATCATCCGGCCCTTCAGCAACCCGATCAAGCCCACGGGCCACATCCAGATCCTGCGCGGGCAGCTCGCACCCGGCGGCTCCGTCGGCAAGATCACGGGCAAGGAGGGCCTGCGCTTCGAGGGCAAGGCGCGCGTGTTCGACGACGAGGACGACTTCATCGCCTCGCTGGAGCGCAACGAGATCAAGAAGGGCGAGAAGACGGTCGTGATCATCCGCTACGAGGGCCCCAAGGGCGGCCCCGGCATGCCGGAGATGCTGAAGCCCAGTTCCGCCATCATGGGCGCCGGGCTGGGCAAGGACGTCGCGCTGCTGACGGACGGCCGCTTCTCCGGCGGCTCGCACGGCTTCCTGATCGGGCACATTGTGCCGGAGGCCATGGAGGGCGGGCCGATTGGGCTGGTGCAGGACGGGGATGTGATTACGATTGATGCGGAGTCGCGCGTGATCGACACGAATGTGTCCGAGGAGGAGATGGCGAGGAGACGGGCCGAGTGGAAGGCGCCGCCGCTGAAGTACAGCAAGGGCACGCTGAAGAAGTACTCTTTGCTCGTGAGCGATGCGTCCTCGGGCTGCGTTACGGACGGCAAGTTGCAGTAAAGAAGAAGAAGAAGAGAGAGAGGGGGGAAGTGAACGGGTCTGGTTCAGGGGGGAGCAAATGGGGCGGTCTTCCACCACTAGAGATTTACGCTTTGTTATACCATCTTACTTGTACGGCTTCGGAAAAGGTAGTCCAAAATCGGAGTTTTGTTTACGGTTCGTCTCTGGTGGTTGTACATCACTGAAGTATGTATATGGTGTGGGGTGTAGAGCAAACTTCCGCGCGCTCAAAAATAAGAATTGGAATCGTGGTATATGGAAGCTCGCCAACAAAAAAACGTACAAACGTAGACATTACACAGCGGCGCGCGTCTGTAAGAAGACGGGGCGCCCGCTCATGACCTGCTTTTCTTCATCTCTTCCCCCTCCAGTGCGTTGTTGGTTTCGAAACATGGCGCGTTCAAGGCAGCCCCGGCTCCTAGCTATGCAAATACCCGAACAAGTTGTCATTAAATCACTGCTGGCCGCCTTTCCTGCTCATCCTTTTTTGTGTGTTGTGGTTGGGTTTACTGCGGTGACGGAGGGATTTCACTTTTTCCTTCCGCTCCATGCTTCGACGAAGGCGGCCTTGTCTCTCAACGTCAGGCCCACACGTTTGTTCCGGCACAGCCTGGCCAGCGCCTCGGCGACCTTGTCGAGAACACGCTGCTCCTCGGCGGAAAGCCCCGTAGGCTCGCCGCCCATACGTCGCTGCGCGGAGGAGCCGGTGTCGTGGGAGGATGACACGCCGTTGGTCTGGGCGGCGGAGGAGTTGAGGATGCTCTCGGCGACGCGGACGCGGATGCAGGTGGTCGGGCGAGAAAGAAGATCCCAAAGGAACTTGAACCAGCGGCCGGGAACGGGGGTGGTGACGTCGGCGGGGGTGTAGCGGATGCTGACGGGGAAGATGTGGACGTCGGGCTTTGCGACCAGGAGGGACGGGGTGAAGGGGAGGACGCCCTTGCCGTTTGTGGTGGTGGCCTCGGGGAAGACGGCAACGACGCGGTCGGGGTAGCGCTCGAGGAGGGCGGCGAGGTCGGTGAGCTTTGCGCCCTGGCGGGGGCCGAAGCGGACGGGTGAGAGGGCGTAGAGGACGGCGCGGAGGAGGGAGATGCGTTCGACGGAGCGGGTGTTGGGGTAGGAGACGGTGAAGATGGGGTCGAAGATGGCGGCGAGGTAGATTGCGTCGATGGGGGAGGTGAAGTTTGCGGCGATGACGGAGCCTGGGTGGGGGAAGCGCTGCGGGGGCTGCTCGGCGAGGGTGCCGCGGCGGACGCCGTCGAGCTGGAGGTCGACCCACCAGATGCCCGGGATGCCCATCATGCCCCAGAGGAGGATCTTGCGGGCGGCGACGGGCAGGAAGGGCAAGTGGTGGAGGACGAGGAAGTAGGTCGCGACGTAGGTGATGAAGAAGGGGAGGCGGATGAGGAAGAGGAAGGCGTGGAAGACGGAGGAGAGCGCGGAGAGCGGCGTCTTGACCGGGATGAAGGGCGAGATGCCGGAGCCTGGTGTGGGTGCGTGTTAGCGACGGCGATTCGAAAACAGTCGTGATGATGTGTAGGGGTGCTAACCTTTATCGCGGAACTGGCTGAACTTCTCCATGGCTGCGTTTGTGGTTTGGGATATGTGGTCGAGGATCGTGTAAGTCGGAGCAGGAGGCCGGAAGCGGGAAGTTCGGGGTGTAGATCACGGCGGCATGTGGCTCCGTTGCAATGCGATTCGTGAAGGGATGCGCTGCCGAGGGAGGGGGAGTCGCGGTCCGAGTCTAGCTTCGTCAATATCGGGATTGATGGCTAGCAATGAAGGATAGCCTTGCGAGAGAGGATGGGCAGAAAACGGCGACGACAGAACAACAGCAGTGATACGCGTGCCTCTGCACGGCAGCCTTCGTGTCCTGTATGATCGGGCAGATTCCTCGTCGTCGGCGGGGGGGGGGGGCGTCAAGACACAAATCTCTGGCGGGAGCTGGCGAATGAGCTTTCCAACGTCATGGTGCGACAGGCTGGTCTTCGTGACATGTGAAAAGGCCACACTGCGACCTTGTCTGCGCTGGGCGTTTGGCGGCGCAAAGAAAGCTGCTGCTGGTCTGACCGCTCTGGCGACCGCTTTCCGTATTGGGTGTGGTGCCCCGCTTTGTGACGGTAGAACTTCTGGCCTGACTTTGAGTCGGGAGGGCGTCGGCCTTAGGCAGGAACAGGGAGCTTCAGTTGGCGGGTGGCACCGGCGTTCCTTACCTAAGCGGCTCTCCTGGAGAGGTGTTCCCGGGTGGCTGGGATTAAGTAGCTTAGGTAAGGTACCTGAGCAAGGTTTCTATCTAGCTTAGGTAAGGTGCACAACTTGCACAAGTCCGTCGCCCCGACAACAATAGTCACAATCCAGTGTAAACAGGCGGCCCCCTGTGAAGGCCTCCACAATCCCCAATCGGGAAGCGCAAACAAGCCGTCACAGCAAAAAGACAGCAGATTGGCACCTCGAGCTCGTGCACTCAAATCCACACCCCTCCCCATATTCAATCATAGCTGTGGACTTTTCGCGATTTGTATTTGCCATTTCGCATGTTTGCAGCTTCAACTCTACAACAATAACGAACGAACGAAGAAGACGTCGTCGCCGTCTCCCACCGCCAGCAGCGGCTGATCGCCCACAGTACCTATCGCACATTAATCGTCCCAGTCGAGTCTGTCAACAAGCCCCGCCACCGCATCGACGACAACACCACCACCGCCAGTCAACATGGACTCCTCGGAGAATACGGTGCGTTCTGCGCCTCCTGCGATGACATTCACGACAGGAAAAACAAAATTGGCTGACTCCCGACCGCAATGCAGCAGCACCAGTTCCGAACGTCCGTCATACGACCCCCCAGCGCGCTGCCGCGACCGGGGACGAGCATGTCGCACTCGTCGAGTATCCATTCGGTCGGGCTTTCAGAGATGAGCGATGCGCAAAACAACAGTCGGACGATGAACAACAATAGCAGCATGATTCCACCGCCATCATCGGCCAAGGTTGGCTCGTTGGTCGACCTCAAGCGACATGTCCCGCAGCCAGGTGGGTATTTTCCTGTTCCAGCTGTTCCAGTGCTGCAGGTGCTTGCCAGCGAAGTGTATCAAAGCCCGCTGACCGCTCTTTTGCTGCAGCCCAGATTTCGGACCCGAAGCGCGGCAAGACCCTCGCACAGCGCGCTGGCGAATACCCCGGCAGAGACGCCGCACACTCAACACACCCTTCAACGGCAGCAGCGGCTGGCCACAATGCTGCTGCTGGTGCTTCTGGCCTCACGAGAGCGGGTTCGGTGAGGGGTCAGACTCTCGCATCGGTAAGTCACCACCACCACCACAGGTGCACACACACTGTGACACCACTCGATTGATTGGACTCGTCACTCCTGCGAGTGAAATGGGTCCATTCTCTCTTCTTTTTTTTTCTGCCCTCTCGTCCCGTCCACGTCCACGTCTTGTCCCGCCCCCATTCCCAACCAACCCAACCTTCAACCCACTTCAAGTCTTCCCCCCTCCCCCTCTTTGCTACTCCTACTCCCTGCGAACCCTCGTCAACCTTCGAATGTCCTTTACATGATCCCCCCCGAGCCGGCTCGGACGTCGCGATGGAGCTGTGTGCAACCAGCGTCGACGTCGACGTCCTCCGCATTGCTCACTGGATCTGTGTCCATCTTTACCGTGCCTCTCGACGAGCTCTGCGTACCATCATCTGCGTCGCCCCGCGGTTGTCTACCCTGCCGGGATTGCTGTTTGCCCTGTCGCTGCACTGGGACCACACCGACGTCCATCATCCAGGCCTGCACCAAGAGAGACAGCTCACCATGATCCGCCTCGACTCTCGACGACAGCTTCAGCCATTTCAACCGCTGCCACCTGGTCCTGGCCCGACCTACTTCCGCACCACCTCTGGCCGCTTCCAGCTATGTCTCGGCAGCCAGAGCGACAACGGCAGCTCCCGGGGCGTTCGTCTGTTGGTTGATGCAGAGGTGCACCAGGCGACTACGGAGGCGTGCATCACGGACATCACAGACGACATCGGGGACAGGGATGACATGCTTTCTGTACCACAGGCTGCTCGTCACAAAACCGACCTGTGCCTATGCTGACTCGTTAGCAGTTCAGAAACCCCGCCAGCAACGCCCTCGCGCGTCACAACTCGACCTCGTCGACGACTTCACGATACGGCCAGAACAACAACTTTTCCGCCAGCGTCGGCCCCGGCACCAGACAGCGCCATGAACGCTCACAGTCGTCGTTGGGCAATAGCCGGTCGGTACACGCACAGTCGGTCTCCGGACATCCGCGCTCCCGAAACGCAAACACCGCAAGACCTCGCACAGCTATCGGCAATCGAATTGAGGATGAGTGTGATGGACCAATGGCACAACAGCATGGTACGACCAGTCAATTTCGCCAACTGAACTTTCAACGCAATTTTGAATTTCCGCACAACACGTCAAGACATGCCATTCCAGCACCCCAGATGAACCACCCGTCACGCAGAGAAGTATCTCTCACCAGCCGGTTCGGTGCACTGTCCATTAAGGACGACACCAGCTCGGATTCTGCCCAAGATGAAGATCAAGTGGTTTTCAGCCAAGAAAACAGCGTCAGCTCCGCGACAACGACTGCGAGCGGCGCCGCGCAAATGGACAACGTCACCATGCGCTCCCCTCGCAAGCTCGCCATGAAACCGCCAGACCTGTCGCCGAAGAAGAGGCACGCCAGTCGCATGACTGACCCCGCCACGCCTTCGCCAGACTCTAAGCGCGTTAGGGCCGACATGAAAGTATTCGAAGAGGCGATCATGTCTACCATCAAAGAATCCAGATCCCCCGCCAGATGCCCCTCCCCTAGTAAACTCATGTTCTTGACCAAAGATTCTAACACAACTCAATTTGCAGCATGGGATGTCGAGGGACGCTTGGGAGAGCTAGACTCTCAGTTTAAGAAGGTGCAGGACTCGATGAACAGCATGATTTCCGATAAGGAGTTGATGGATGAAAGAGTTGAGATGTACAAGAAGAGAAGTGAGTCGGTCCGTGAGAGATGAGATGAAAGCTGGCTGACGGTCGCAGTATCCGAGCTGGAAACCGAGCGAGACAAGTTCGCAGACCGAAATGAGAGCCTGCACTCGGAGCTTAACAGCATGCGGGAGCAGGTTTCTAAATTGACGATTGAATCAGAGACTGAGAAGCGCAGCCACAAGTATGAGCTCGAGGATGAGGCTCGCAAGCGCCGCCATGAGGTGGAGCAGCTCCGACGTGAATTGAGGGATGAAGTTGCACGACAGGAGAAGAGCCAGAGCGAGGCGTTGGCCGCCTTGGAGCGACATTACAAGGTCATGATTGAGGATGAGCGGGCCAAGCAGGGCAAGGAGATTGAGCACCTTCGCATGCGACTCGGAAACGAACAGCAGGACCTTCACCTCAACCTGCAGAAGAAGGACCGCGAGGTGTCAGAGATGCGAGCTGTGATTGAGGGGCTAAAGGGCGACTTGGACCGCGAGCAGAGCCTGAAGAAGGGGCTTGAGACAACCATCACCGAGCTCTCGTCCTCAACTCACCAACTTCAGGGCCGAATCAACTCCCTCACTGGACAAGTCGACTACCTTCAGTCCGACAGCAAGGCGCAATCCGACTCTTACACGCAAATGGAGGCGAGGCTGCAGGAGGCTCTTGAGCAGGCGGAGTTTGCCAAGGAGAAACTCATTAAGGAGGAGACGGAGCGCCGCATCCTCTTCAACAAGTACCAGGAGCTCAAGGGCAACATTCGTGTTATGTGCAGAGTGCGCCCCGTTCTCAGTGCTGCGGAGGGTGCACCGGCACAGGTTGCGTACCCCGACGACAAGACGTCGGCCGAGATCGCCCTCGCGGGACCCGAGGAGATGAACAGCATTACCGGCAAGGCTACCAGAAAGAACTACAACTTTGAGTTCGACCGCGTCTTCGACCCCAAGGCGCAGAACCAGGACGTGTTTGACGAGATTTCTCAACTGGTGCAGAGCGCACTCGACGGATACAACGTGTGCATCTTCTGCTACGGTCAAACAGGTTCCGGAAAGACTCACACCATGTCATCTCAAGACGGTATGATTCCTCGTGCGACACACATGATCTACGACACTGTCAACAAGCTCAAGGAGAAGTCGTGGACATACAAGATGGAGGGATCCTTCATCGAGGTGTACAACGAAGAGCTCAACGACTTGCTCACCGAGGGCAAGGGACGCAAGCTCGAGATCCGCCATGACGACGTGCGCAAGCAGACGACGGTCGTCAACTGCAAGTCGGTGTCGCTGGACTCGGCGGATACGGTTGAGATGATGCTCGACGAAGCGCAGAAGAACCGATCTGTGGCGGCAACCAAGGCTAACGAGCGGTCGTCTCGTTCGCACAGTGTCTTCATCCTCAAGCTGGTGGGTTTCAACTCGGCAACGGGAGAGCGTTGCGAGGGCACCCTCAACTTGGTGGACCTGGCTGGTTCGGAGCGTCTGAAGCACTCGCAGGTCGAAGGTGACAGGATGAAGGAGACACAGAACATCAACAAGTCCTTGTCATGCCTCGGTGATGTTATTGAAGCGCTCGGCAGGGGGGGCGGACACATTCCGTACCGCAACTCCAAGCTGACGCACTTGCTGCAGTACTCCCTCGGGGGCAACAGCAAGACGCTCATGTTTGTGATGGTTAGTCCCTTGGAGACTCACCTCAAGGAGACGTTGACGAGTTTGAGATTTGCTACGAAGGTAAGCGGGATGCTGAACCGTTTCCGGAAGAACACGAGACTAACCAGGCACAGGTTCATAATACCCACATTGGTACGGCGAAGGCGACGAAGAAGGTTTAAAAGGCCAGAGGGCTGGCTATGGAGGCGTTCTTGGATGAGTGACACAGTGACAGGGCGACAGGCGTTGGAGGAATTTTGCGCTGCAGATGGGGCATTGTCGAGTTTGAGTTTGTATATCCTAGAAATACGTACAAGTACGATTTCTACACACAGTCAATACAGCACGAAGGTTGTTCAGGCAGTCATTTGAAGTTGTGATTATGAGGCTGTGATTGAAGTGTTCTGGCCACGGCCAAGCATGGGTCTCCATTGTCTTGGGGGCCCCCTTCTGTCAGCGGGCGCTAAACTGCCCTAGACCTGCGTCATTCCGCGGCAGGCCCCGGGCCACACGGACGCTGCCCTAGCACACGGAAACAAGGCGCAGCCAGCACCTACCAGGCTGTTTCCAGGCGGGGACCTTCCAACAAACGCTGAAGACCTCGGTGCAAGGCGGTGGATGGCATCATCCCCCACCCTCACCACTCCACAACCACTCCTTTAAGCGTTTCGCCGGCCGAGCAATTGGATCAACAAAGGACTGGTACTGGTGGCAAGGGAGCTTGCATTCTATTCTTTGTATCCCGTTTTGTACGAAAACATCATCACATTCATTCTTGGACATTGCTGCAATCAATTGTAGCGGTAGACCCGACAACCAATCGAACAAACGAAAGGTCTGGGCAGACCATTGTCGACAGCTTCCTGACGACCAACCAACGGAACGACCTCACGAGGCTACACTCTGCACTCGAAGCAGACCCGAACGGGCCACCGACTTTGAAATAGGATATCTAAAGGTGGATCGGGCTGCTTGCCGAGGACACAGCTTCCAGGCCGCCATAATGATGCGCCAGCAAAAGAAGGGCCTGTCGAGCTCCATGTGGGCGTCCGAGGGAAAGTCCACGAGCCTTGGCCGTCCCTCGACCTCAAAGGCGAAGGCCCCGACGAGCTCGGCGGTCAACCCCGTAGTACCACGGCAGCCCTCTCCGACCATCCCCGCCGAGTCCTGCTCCGCGGTGAATAGCATTCCCACCCCGCCGATGAGCACCTCGGGGTTTGCGTCCACGACTACTGCGGCGACGACGAAGGCGAAGGCTACGACGGCGGCGTACAAGAGCAGTGACCCCGCGGCCGACGCTGCAAAGGCACACAGAGAGCTTAAGCGCTACGAGCAGATTGTGCGGCGGATGCAGTGGAAGAAGCCGTTCCTGAGCGAGGGCTACGACAAGGCGACGGTGAAGTTCGCGGACGAGAAGGGGCGGGCGGAGGCGGAGATGATGTTCAAGCTTGACTTTTACGAGTACTACATGCTGCTGGAGAGGGCGCTCGTGCACCTGATGGGGGTGTTTGAGATTGGCGTGTCGCCGGAGACGACCTCGACGTGGGGGTGCAGCAGCAGCAGCAAGAATGGTAGAGGGGCGGACTTCTCGACGAAGCACAGCTTCCATGAGAACGTGATCTTGTCGCTGCAGAAGGAGGAGAACCCGCTGCACGAGGTGCTCGGGACGGGAGACGTGCTGTTCCAGCTGTCGAGGGCGAAGACGTTGCGGAACTGGTGGAAGCACGCTGAGGACGAGAGCAAGCTGGGCGCGCGTAAGAGGCGGGCGGCGACGGCGCCGTTGGAGAGTTTTGATCTGACGCTTATTTTCAATGCGGTGTTTGAGGGGCTGGATAAGGGATATGTGATTGCGGACAGGTGGGTGGAGGTGCTGCAGAGCAGGATGAGCTGGGCGGATGAGGTTATGGATACCGAGTCGGATGGGGAGGATGCGTTTGACTGGATGGTTGACGCGATGGACTGGCAGGCCGTTTGAAGACGGGCGTGGTGGCGTATGAGCGAGGCGCCGATGGGGATGGATGGAGTGGAGGATGCATCGTTAGGCGATACCCTTATGGTTCATGCATATTCGAGCATGGCGTACGTTGGATAGGTTTATACACGCGGGTTTGTTAACTTTGTGCTTGGCGAACGTGGTTGTGGTGGTGGTGTTTTGATATGTGAGTATGTACATTGCAGCTTGCAGCCCCGCTGACGAAGTGGCTTGTGGGGGGTTGAGTGAGACATGCAAAGTGAACTGAACCAACTCCTTTGCCAAGCCCCTTTTTTTTTCTTGCTTGTGACTTGTTCTGCCGGCTCTGCATATATCAGATGGGGATCCGGTTTTCTTTTTATAATGACCGCGCCCCGAGGACACCGCGCGGAGACGCATGTGAGCGTTCTTGAAGTGGTCCAGAGGAAGTGTGGGAGTGGGGGAGAGGGATTGGGACTCCACTGGTGCATCGCGATTTGAACTGAAGGGAAACGAGGTCTTTTGCGTGTGGGATTTTTGGATATATGGATTTAGTCTACGAAGGCGTGTCTGAGAGAGAAGGTCAGTTGTGAGAGGTAGGTCGGCATCGGGCCCGTTTATCTGTCCGGGACAGGCAGATGTAAAACCCAGGCTAAGATTATGTTTCTAGTCTGTCTTGCGGAAAAGAAACGGCTTGGCTTGGATGGCGTTGGGCATGCGGGATGCGGGATGCGAGTGTTGCGAGGGGAACGACTTTTTTCGCATGTATGTCTCATGGCGCAACAGGGACTGAAAGCATAATGCGAAGCTTGCGAGAAGGTCATTATTTGTATTCAATTGCCAGTGGGACAATCAAATAGTCACGCTTTGCAAGAAACATTGGGCTTGGCGGCTATTGGGGATGCGGGATATGCGAACGTTGCGAGCTGAACGAGAAAGGGCACTTTCGTAACCCCACATAATCCAAGACAAACATGATTAACGGCGCCAGAGGGAAGCTTGTTGCCCACTCCCGCCGCTCACTGGGCGTTTGCTTTAGCTAGCGTGTTATACGTTGCAGTCGGTTGCTATATCCCGTTCAGACCGCAAGCACGAGGGTGTGGGTGTCTTGTCACTGTCAGATCTACGTGGTGACGGCTGCACGGCATCGCGAAGCTATCTGATAGGCAAACGGGGGGAGGTTCGGCTGGACGAAGATCGTAGAGGCAGACGACCGATGGAAAGGCAGAGCAAAGCAAGCATTGAAGCGGCTAAACCGTTTCGGTGGGCGGACACATCCTTGTTCATGTTCAGAGTTTCCACGCTCGGCTCCTCCATCTGCCGCGCACCGTCTGGTCGCTAGCGCACGGCAGATCCAGCGGTTTGGGTCCCCACCGGCGCCGACCACCATCCTCTGCCCCTTTCTCTTCGTTTTGGGTCTTTTGTGCCCTTGTTGAAATGGTTCTGTGCTGCTACCTAGTGAGAGGAGGGGAATATGGACATGCTGGTTGGTTCCTGCTTGAAATTGCCTGGGCCATGATTGGATTGCCGATACGTCTCGCTGCGGTGAGGAGACACTGCGTAGAGTAGCAGGGGGTTGCAGTGATGTCTTGAACCATGAAAGGGCACAAGTCGTATTCGGAATCGTCATCCATTCTGGCGGGGTCGTTCGTTTGGATTCGCCCCGGGGGAGGAGGTATCCTTGCAAGGCGTCCAGACGAAGTTTGGGGATTGGACTAGGGGACCCCGTCCTGGATGGCCCGTGAAGTGAGGGGGACGGACGGGCAAAAAGGCAGAGCTGTTGTTTCTGTATCTGTCAGTTCCCTTTCTTTCGTTCCCGTCGTCTACTAGCGCGGCGTTTGAAGTGGTTGACGGCGCTGGACTGTCTTCATTAGTCGGTTCGAGTGGCGGGCGCCGGCCTTGTATCATACTGACGCTATCCCACGTTGTGGACATACTTTACCAAGTGCTCTCCCAACTCGTCTTACACCTGCCTCCTACTCTTCTTTAACCCTCCCGAGCAGAGGAAAAGCTTCGGTCAGAGCGCGAATTGAACCTTCACAAGACGAACCTCCTCCTCCCCCCATTCTCCTCTTCGACACGAAAGACAGGCACAGACAGACCACGATGTCGGTCTCGACGCTCCTCTCGACGGCTCTGCACCCGCAGAACTGGCCGACGAGCATCTGGGTGCTCCTCCTCACGGGGGTCGCCTACGCGGTGGGCTTCCTCGCGTACCGGCCGTCGTTCCCGCGCAACGCGCCGAAGCTGTTCAAGGGGTACCCCGTGCTGGGGGCGCCGCGGTTCTTCACGGACCGGGGGAACTTCCTGACGGAGGGCCGGCGGTTTGGGCGGTCGGGGAACTGGAGCTTTTATTTTGGCAAGATGAGGATTGTAGGGTTGTCGGGGGAGCCGGGGCGGAATCTGTTTTTTGAGAGTCGGGAGTTGGATTTTACAAAGGGGTGAGTGTCTCTTTTCTGATTACATTGTTTGGTCAAGGAGGAAAGAAAGTTGATGGGACTGACGGTTGGGATGTTAGGTATGGCGCCCTCTTCAACGCGACGCCCAAGATCGAAGTATCCCCCGACCAATCCGTCGAGGAGGACTTCGCAGCCAAGTTCAACCGCCTCATCGTCCGGCTCCTACGCAAAGAACAGCTCTGCAAACGTCTACACCTCCTCGTCCGCGACACGCACGACACGACCAAACGCCTCGCCGCCCGGCCCTCCAAGATCAGCGACCCGTTCGAGGACATGTACCGGCTCGTGTTCCAGCTGACGATGCGCATGGTGGGCTGCGACGAGATCGCCGAGGACGACGCGCTGCTCGTCAAGACGCTGCGCATCTTCGAGGGCATCGACGCGGCCAGCACCGCCACGAAGGTCATGTTCCCGTGGATGCCGACCATCGGGCACTTCCGGCGCGTGTACTCGGGCGCGCAGATGTACATGATCCTGGAGCGGGTGATCAAGGAGCGCAAGGCGAGGGGTGTGGACGGGAGCGATGCGCTGCAGTACCTGACGGACGAGGGGTACACGACGGTCGAGATGGTGGCGTTTATTGTTGGCGCGCTGTTTGCGGGTTTGATTAATAGCGGGATCAACGCGGCGTATTTGCTGTGCTTTTTGGGCGCGAACGAGGAGTGGTATGGGCGTGTGCAGGCGGAGGTGGACTCTGTGATTGCGAAGCACCGGCGCAGCGAGGAGGAGACGCCCGAGGAGGTGTTTGCGAGGTTTGAGGTGGAGGACTGGGAGGCGGAGTTCCCGATGGTGGATCTGGGGCTGAAGGAGACGATTCGGCACACGATCACGGGGTGCGGGTTCCGGTATAACGGGACCGGGAAGGATATCCCGATCGGGGACTCGGGGGAGGTGGTCCCGGCGGACGCGTTTGCGGTGTATCACTTTGATGATACGCATATGAGTGAGAGGTTCTTCCCGGAGCCGTTGAGGTGGGACCCCGGGAGGTTTTTGCCGCCGCGGGAGGAGGATAAGAGGGATCCGAGGGCGTTCAACGGGTGGGGGAGCGGGCGGCATCCGTGTTTGGGGATGAGGGTGAGTTTTTTCTTTTCCTTCTTTTTGTTTTTGCTTTTTTGGGGATGTCTTGGCTTGTTGGAGATGAGGCTTGCTAACGAGATGCGCTGCGACAGTTTGCCAAACTGGAGACGTTCGTGGCGACGGCGATCTTCGTGGCCAAGTTTGACTACCACCTGTGCGATGCGGACGGCAAGAGAATGGACAAGGTGCCGGAGGACTCGGTGGACCGCAACACGCACTCTGCGTCGAAGCCGAGGAACAACCTGTACTTGAAGTATACCGAGAGGACGCGGTGGGCGAGGGCGTGATGGTGTTTGGGGTGAGATAGGGAGATTGGATAGGAAGAGAACATGTCTCGTTTTGAAGACGTCTGTGAGCGTGTCATGACATTGCATGTGTTTCTTACCGTGAGAGGCGGCTTGATGTAAAGTGCCAGTATATTTATTTCAGCATCATGAATGATGACGATGCTTTGTGTGAATGTTTTCTTTTCGTTTCCCGGTCACTCGTTCGGCGAAGATGTGACCAGCATATGAATGCCCGAAATAAGTTGTAGATGCCACCACCGAAAGTCTAGACCACCGAACGCCGAAGCGGACGGGAGGACGCCCCGCCACCCTGACCCGAACACTGTGATTGGCTGGGCGCATTGGGCGGTCGCTTCGCACCGGCACGTCACTGCGCAATCTCATTCATCTCAACTCAGTTCCGCCTGCTCACATCTGGACTTCCATCCTCCATCTCCGGCGTTCGCCCCCAACTTCACTCCTACTCTTGCGTTCATTTCCTCTCATTTGCCTTACTGCGGAAGGCGCGAAGACCTGCGGAAAACGTTGGATCACAGCGAGGAACCCGGCATCGGCGTCTTCATTGTCATCTCGATCGGATTCGGACCTCAAGTCCATCTCAGTGAGCAACGTCCGGCCCGCAACTCCGACGAAGGGAGCTGGTGGAGGCATCATCATCCGGACATCTCCTCTTCGCCACATTCACCAAGCAAACCCCCCTTCACACCACCCACGATGGTCGTCGTAACGTACCCCAAAGAATGCGAAGTCGTCCAGCCCGCCCCGCCGCGCGGCCGGGCCGCGACACCGCTCTTCCTCCTCCACGACGGCGGCGGCACCACCTTCGCCTACCACTGCCTCTCCCCGCTCGACCGCGCCGTCTTCGGCATCGCGAACCCGCGCTTCACCTCCGGCACGGAGTGGCCCGGCGGCGTGCCCGAGATGGCGCGCGCGTACCTGCGCATGATCCGCAACACCGTCGCGGGGGCGGAGTACCCGCCCATGGCGCCGTGCACGCTGACGAAAGACGGGCGGCGGCGGTGGAAGATCCTGCTGGGCGGGTGGAGCCTGGGCGGGCTTTTGTCGTTGGAGATTGCGCGGTTGCTGGTCACGGGGAAGAACGAGGGCGGCGTGGACGAGGGCGCGGGAGACGGCGGGGACGAGGTCGAGATTGTGGGGCTGGTGATGATTGACAGCGTGTACCCCGTCTGGCCGGTGGGGTCGGAGGTGAAGATTGGGACGTGGATCGAGACGGAGGTGCCGGAGCACAAGAACCTGAAGCTGGCGCGGCAGTCGATGAAGCTGGCGGGCGGGATGGTGAAGGTGTGGAAGATGCCGCGGTGCGGGGCGGCGTTCCGCAACGGGGTGGACTACGAGGTGAGCGAGGAAGGGAAGGATGTGGAGAAGTCGTTTTACGGGAGCAGGGCGGAGAAGGAGACGGACGAGGTCGTGTGGGATCGGCCGCCGAGGGGCGTGCTTGTGCGGGCGTCGGATTGTGTGCCGATGACTGGAGAGGGGATCAGTCCTGTGGATATGTATCGCGGGGATGCGAAGCTGGGGTGGGATGGGTATTGTCCTGGGTATGTTGAGAAGACGTTTGTGACGAAGGGGAACCATTTTGATATGTTTGCGTGGGGGTATGTTGATGAGATTACGGAGAGGGTGGCGGAGGCTTGTCGGTACTTGGAGGGATGATTGTGAGGCTGGAGGTGGTTGGAAGGTTGGGTTTATAATGACTTTGAGGTCGTAATACAGGCGCAGGGTTGGGTAATTTTGGATAGACTGCATACGGTGTCGGGCACACGGGACCATAGACGACATCATACTGGAAGCTCACGTAGAGAATGCATCTTGCTTACGCTTAAGACCTTATCCTTTACGCAGCCTGTGGGTGCGATAGTCCTCACGAGTGACTGCCGAATGAAATCAGAAGCTGGCAGGGGCTTTGAAACAAATAAAAAGATTGCGTCCGCCGGGGTTCGAACCCAGGTCCCTGGCTTTCATTCTCTGAGAGAGTGGGAGGCCAGAATGCTAAACCACTGCACCACGAACGCGCTTTGATTTGAAGATGCTGAGAACGACGGCAGGAACGATCATAGGGCGGCGGACGCGGGAATGCAGTCGTTCTTGCTGAAAGGGGCAGTCGCCAGCCTAACTCGGTGCTCCTGCCTGTTTGCTTCACAGAGGCGAATCGGGCAAGCGCCGGAGTGTCGACCCACTCACCCGGAGGACCAGTGCCGTCCTCTGGCCCGGGCTTCTCACCGCTCCGGCTCGGCGACGGGAGGATGCAGAATGATCGTTTGCTTGAATTTAGGACCTAGCTTCAACGTCTCGAAGCAAATAAGCCACACAGCTGCCCACTCGTCCCCTTAGTTTGCCCCCTCCACCCCCGTCGCCACCACAACCCTCTCCTTCTCAACAACAACCGCTCCCGGAACAGCGCCCTGCTCACCCACGATCCTCGCCGGCGCCTCCCCTCTTGCCCACGCTTCCAGCGGCGTCGTCAACACCTTCCGCAGCGCCGCGAACCCGTACCCGACAACATACATCATCAACAGACTGAACATCGCCCACGTCACCGAGACAACCTGGAAGATGAGCCAGGGACTGTCCTCGAGCGAGTCGCCGAACGTGAAGCCGATCTTCTCCTCGAACTCGACGAGCGCGGTGGTGAAGTTCTGCCGCGACTCGTCGTCGTGGAAGAAGCCCTTGCCGCCTGCGGCCGTGTCCTCCTTGTCGTCGGCGTCGAGGGTCGAGGCGAAGAGGAAGAGCCCGCCGAAGACGACGAGCAGGCAGAGCATGAAGAGGATGCGCGCGAGGTGGAGGATCCAGGTTATGGAGAAGAGGAGGAGGACGAGGGCGCCGTGGGGGGAGCCGTTGTCTGCTGTTGCGAGCCAGGTGGCGAGGTTGCCTTGGGACGATCGCGGTGTGTTTGGGGTTGGTGCGCGAGTTGGGGTGGAGGCGGCGACGATGAGCTTGGCGATGAGGAAGGTGAGGAGGGAGGGGAGGGCGATGAGCTGGAGGAGGCCTGGGTCCTGGCCGAGAGCGGTCATGGCGACGCAGACGAGGATCATGAGGGACCATGACCCGAGAAAGGAGACGGCGAGGCCGGTGTAGAGCCACGAGGTGGCTTGGCGGAAGATGTTGGCCATGGGATGGGTGGTAGACGGCCAGGTCCCGATGAGCTTAGATTCATGACACGAGCTTGGGGATTGAGACGTTTAGGAAGCTGACGACCTGGATATATTGTCAGTCGCCGGATGGTAATGATACACAAAAGAGGGACTTACCATATGACAGAACTATTTCGGCCAATTTGTTCGAGTTCTTGGCCTGTGATTGACGGCCATCGTGGGATGAGATGGGAGGAAGGTGAAGATGAAGATGAAAAAGGGGGTCCACTGTCGTCTGCCTGGATCCTTCTGCTAACCGAAAAAAGACTAGCGTGCGTCCGAAGTTCTGCTCCGATGACTTCCCCAAGTACGGATATCCGACACTTACAAATCCAGCAAAGACTAAAATTCATCCGAATCCAAAATCTATTCATGGATCAAAAAGGGGAGTAATTGAAAAGAAAGAAACTGCAGATGATATCTTCCTGGTTTGACCGAATGGTGGCCATAACTAGCTGTCTTCTCTGTCGCCTTTCTTGATAAGCTTGTCAGTTCCACCGTCTACCGATCACTCTCATTAGCTGCGAAACGCCCATACGGAAAATACTCGTACATAATGATAATACCTCTAAACCGACTCGCCACAGCCTGGGCTTAACTCATATGAATTCAAATTCAGTCAAATCGCTCTCATCTTCCGGCCAATATTCTCCTTCCATCACACCGTCAATAATACTGGGTCCCACCAGAACGAAACTCGATCCCTGGGGACGAACAACGAATGGCAACGTGAGCCCAGCGAAGACGCATATCAAGTCACCCGGCTCGAGGCCGCAGGGACCGATCCCACAAGTGCCATTCGTCGTGAAAAATACCCTTCCCGTCCTGAAATAGTCCGCAAAGTCTTCATCCTGAGAGGCCTTCCAGTATTTGATCTTCACTGCACGAGGTTTTCTTATGAGCCTCAATGCCCTCGATTCGAAGCTTATAAGCGATATCAAACTCGTGAAACTTTGCATCCTCCTAGTCTGGTCTGGAGATGTGACCGGTTTATTTCTCGAATCTTTGGCATTTGGGGCACTCAGCTCGGATATCCAGACAGAGATTGCACCCAGAACTGCATTTGCAACAGCTGGGCTGCAAGTCCTCCTGTCTTTTGCTTCTGGCTCGGACGGATGGTAAAGCCTGGGCCCAATGTGTGCGTTGTCTACTTCCCCAATGATTCGCCCTTCCATGTAAAGCTTTCTGTTGTCTTCCGAGAACCTGCACCAATAGTGGCTGGTGCCGGATGGCTTGAACATGAATGCTAGCGATCTGTAGTTCCAAAATAGCTCCGGGATGTCGTTGCCGGCCCAGTCGACCGCCCAAGATGGTAAGTCTTTCAATGCTGTCCAGCGACTTGCCTCATACACAATGTTCGATGACTCGTGCCCCTGAAGCATGTACTTAGTCGCTTCCGTAAATATGGACGCAGTGGAACGATTGTAGTCAACTTCTACATTGCCGAATGTATGAGGGTAAAGAAATCGCAATGCAAACACCTTGTCCCTTGGGTCAGAGGCTTTCATTGATATGAAATCCGCTGCCCTATATAGTTGAAGATCTCTGAAGACTTTCACGGCACGTGGATTGTTAGCTCTGTGGAAGACGTCCTGATGGAACACCATCTCACTACGGGTGTTGCCGTGTACGTTGCCAAACATATCGAGTGCCTTGTACACCAAGTTCAGCCCTATGACCTGAGAATCTTGGCACAAGACTTTGACATTGACATGTGCAACCTCTTGCAGAGTCCAAGCTCGAGTCCAGTATGGCGCATTGCACCAATGCTGAAGACTTTTCTTGTCACGGCAGGCTATCTCGCGTTAGCTGAGACTCGTTATCGTCTTCGCGGTTTAGATGGGTATTGGGATGGTAGTACCTTTGACAAAAATTCGACTTGCCATGTCTGAGACCCAAAACTTGAGGTCCTTTTCTAATTTCGTTTCGAATCCGGAAGTTGGGGGTTTTCTCAGGTCTTCGATCCAATCCAATCTTCGGTGCGACAAAAATGATATTGTCTTGATGTCCTTTGGTGCCCATTGCTCTCCCAGCCAAACGATCACGAACTTCGCCTGGCGATATATATCTGCCATCATGCTCACTTGCACGTTCTTCTCTTCAGTTTCGGCCTGGTTGATGCATACGGCGTCCACCCAAACCCCAGTTCCTGCTCTCTGAACTAATTTCCGCAACTTTCTTAAAGCAGCAGCGCAATTTGGAGTGATGAGAATGGCTGAAGTTGAAGATCCGAAAGCACCTGATGCCGCGTCTTCGTGAACAAACATGGGTTGGCTTGGTGTTTCCCCGCCCCAGGTATATGACAGGGCGTAGTAATCCTCCGGCTGATCCAGACTGGTCTCAACAAGGCTGCAGGATAACGGCGCCTCTTCCTCGTGACTTAGGTGGAGTATAATTAGACGGATAGCCCGCTGATGTGAGAGTGGCTGATAACAGTACGCAGTCATGTTGAGTGATGGCTTAAATGCTACCGACGGACATAGAAGAGGTGATGTGAAAGTAGTCAGTTTTTTTAGTGAAGAGCCGCCGTGAGGAAAAGAGAAAATGAATCAGGCTGGGCTGAATGAACCGGGAACCAGGACATCATGTTGGGTAAGCAAGCCGCCCTTCATGCAGGCTGGACCAAGTATAGTAGGCTCACGAGGCAGGCTCTGTGTCAGCGCTTATGATTCCCTGGCTTGGGCCGAGGAGCAAATGTGAAATGCCCAAAAAGTTTCCAAAGTCTCTGAGTATTTGCACGACAGAAAACAAGCAAAAAAACAAAAGATTTTGCGCCGAGGGGGAATCGAACCCCCGGCTCCCCGACGCTGCTGGATGGCAACGGAGAATTTTACCACTAAACCATCGGCGCTGATGATGTTATTGTCTCTGTTGGAGACTCGGAATGGAGGTGAGAGGTCCGCAATTGGAATATGTTGCGTTGTGGGTGATCGCGGATCCACTGCAATGGGCATGAGGGTTTGAGATGACCCCACTCAAGATCGAACCAGAAGGTCGACAAGGATAGCGAGAACAACAGAGATAATACGAATGAAGATGGGAATAGAAGGTGTAGTACGGAAAATATAGGTTATGAAATAAGGCAACTGAGCGTTGTGTCCTTGAGCTATAAGTCTGGGTGATAATATCAGAACAATGTTGAACATGAGATGATCATAAGCTCGTTTCCCAGCCTCTGAGATCCTTGCAGCATCATTCACGGCCCGCCTAAGCAAGACACCAGAAGACGAAATCCCACTTTGTAGAAATCAACGATCAGTTGATGCCAACACCTAATTGGACCACGAGCTTTTCAAGAATCATCCATTTATCCTCGTCTTTCGCCTTTTCCATGTCATCTGCTTTGGGCTTGAATATTGCCCAGACTGGCAGATATTTGGCGTCCGTCCACTGACTGCTCTTGATATTGTCAAGCGCCTGCTTCATGTTCTTTTGGAGTCGCAACGCATCAGCCAATCCCACGCACGTACTGGCCATCCGAGAGTTTTCCTGCCCCTTCTTTTCAGCAAGACGATGCTCTGTTATCCTGGCGCAGTATATCAGCAGAGATGCCAGCCCCGCAGCGAGAGCCGTGCCGACTGATGATCCATCGTGATACTTGACTGGCTCCGATGATCTTGGATTCTTGGCCTCGGCAACTTGATTGCCGGGAAAAAAGTAGTCAATCCTTTTGACATCCTCGGTATGACCGTCACGCTGGCCTAGGTATGTCGCAGCACCAATTCGGAAGATGTAACCAGGCTGCTTCTGATATGGGAGCGTATCCATGGCTCCTGCTTGGATGTCGTCGCTCGCTGAGCAAAACATCAAAATTCCAGCCTTTGCCGCGTCATCAATAGCATCTCCGAGGGCTTGGATGTCACGTTGCTCCATGGATGGCTTGTCGCTAAAACTACCGTTCCTGGAGTCACTGCCCATGGGGGATGTATGGCCTCCCGTCATCGCGTTCTTGATGGTCCACGACATTGAGATGATGTCCACCTTTTTGTCAATGGCGTATCGAATGGCTTTCGCAGCACTGCCGGCGAAAATGTTCCGTCCTCCGTTTCGTGACGGACCGTCTTGCACCCTGACGACATGCAACTCGACCCAGGGGTTGACTCTCACTATCATGTTCGCCAGGATAGTGCCATGGCCGGTGCTGGAGCAATGCCAGGGTCCGCCAGGGAAGTAACTCACTCCACTACTTGTGACGCTGCCGTTGTAGTCGTCGAGGTTGCCAAGATTGATCCCATCGTCAATGAGCGCGAGCTAGGACAACTTGTCAACCACTGAAGCTAGAGCACTTTGCAGAAGAAAGGTTACCTTCACTCTTGGAGCTTTGCTGCCCTTCAGATCTGGGAGTGAGCTCAGAGCTCTTCGGAATACGTCCATCGTGTCGACCCAGACGTGCTGCTTTTCAGCTGCCTCATCGCTAACGGGACCTGATGCATCTTCAACAGTGTCCATGTTCGCCATCAGTCCCTCCATCCGAATGACGGTTTCCATCGCAACACCGCCGCCTGTCTTCCTCTGGACCTCTTGTTTGAATCGATTCAGCATGGCAAGCATTCTGTCTCGAGTTTCGAGCCCCTGGTAAGTTGCTCGTTAGAAAGGCAGAATGGTACAAGCCTTGAGAATGAGACTCACTGGTGCTGCGTGAACAGTAACTCTCTTGAGCCTCCGCTCCGTTGTCACATATAGCCGGGGAATACCTTCGTCGCAGTCCCATGCTCTGAGAACAGCCTGATTTCCACTCCAGTAGAGATGCACATTCTCGACGGTAGGCGCAGCAAAGGCAATGACTTCAGTGCTCAAGTCAGGCTTCCGCCAATCCCTTCATGTATTGTTAGAGTTACAATACTCCTGACATGACAAATGGTCATGAATGACACCTACCATGTCTCAACAGCTATGGGTTCTCGTCCTGCCGTTACACCATCTTTGAGAAAGGACTCTCGACCTTGTAACGCAATCTCTATGGAGGCATCCGTATGAGAGGGCGGGTGTCTATCTTCGACGTATAGGCGCAAGATCTTCTTGACCTTCAGCTCATGCAACTTGTCGAAAACTTTGACGAGCTCAATACGACCGGGTGACGGATTTTCAGTCAGGGAACGTCTTTGAGCTGCGCTCGCGTTTTGGCCTGATGGCGTATTAATCGAGCTGTGACTGACCGTTGGGAGATGAACGTAGGCGAGAGTATCGTTGAAGCCACCGGCGGACATGCGGCTTAACAGGTGAACTATGCTCTTCGCATCCTTTTGTCCCTTTGCATCAAAGCATAGGTTCTTGTCGAGGTCTTAAACGAGCTCAAAGTCAGCAACCTGCCCAATGGAACTCTGAGAAGTTTACCAACCTGAAATGTTGCCTCTAAATATCAGATCTCGGGCTTCCATATCTGACCGCGTTCGGATGTAATGTGTGGTAATGAATTCGTTCAGCGCGCTCCAGCCCCTGAGTTTGGCCTCGAAAGTGGACATGTTGACCGTATTCTCAGTCCCTACGTCCCTCGGTCTTTTCATATTCGCGCGAGATCGACCGTCCGTTGGAGTCGAGGACTGAAGACCAATTGGGGTTTGGGGGCGGTCTGACGCATGCCCAGCTGTATTGGATCTGCTGATGCTGGGCTGTATTGAAGCTGTTCCGGCCTTTGGGCCCTTCATCATTGGTTCCTTGACGATACCATCGGATGTTGCAGTAGTTCTTCCCAAAGGAAGTGATGGCACTTTCACAATGCCTACCATTCCTGGATCCCTGCTGGTCGGATTGACATACATATCCGCCGGGGGAGGTCCCATGGGTTGCTTAGGGCGACTGTCGAGAGCTGTTGTTTCTGGTCCCGGCGGTGTCGCCGCTTTCTCGAAATTCATTAACCCCTTTGACCGAAGAGCAGTGATTTGCGCTTCCTTTTTCGCCATTTTCCTCGCGGAGTAGTCTCTTTGGAACTTTTGATGGATCTTTCGGCCAAACATAACGGGAGACTCGCCTCTTTCGTTGAACAGCGGGCGCTGTTCCTTCTTGATGACAGCATCTCCGGCCTCAAACATTGCCTTCACCGCTTTGAAGTATTCATCGGATCGGTCCAAACACATCCGGCAGTCCATTGCGTAATGAACAGGCGTATTTCCGATATTATCTGCTGTAGCAATAGTCTGTGGTTTAGCTTTTGAAGACAAGCGTGGGACAAGAAGGGCCTTCTTGTCGCGGATGGCCTTCGTTGAATCCCACGTGAAGAGATGGTGCAGCAGATTCTTGCCCTCTCCGTCTTGAACATGTAGCAGATCTGAGAAATTGTCTCCCAGACATCGCTCAACACAGTCGATGAAGTCGTCGTTGTTGTAGTTGATGGCCACCAGAAGAAAAAGGTCTTCTTTCCCTCGGTGCTGAGGCCCCAGCTCATCGCATGTCCCACCTCGGCATTCTAAAAGGTAGCCAACAAGATTGGTCTGAAGGTTCTTAGGAGCCCTGGAGAAGTCTCTCTTGCTTTTAGCGAAAATATGCAGTGCTGTGGGTGCAACACGATCTCGGTAATCCCTCCTCGACGCAATGGTCTTCTTCTTGTAGTCCTCGAGAAGCGGCGTCTCCTCGTCGCATTCTGTACTGTCCCATCGTCTTTTTTTGTCGATCAAAAGATCTAATACATCTAGGCACTGCAGATCCAACTCCAAGCTCTTCCATTCTTTTTCCACATCGCTCTCTTGATATGTTGCTTTGGAATTGTCAACTGTATGACTTTGGACCTGGAGGACATCCAACTCGTCGAATTCGTCGTCCGTAAAATCGAATTCCATATCTATGTGGCTCTTTCACGTTACAACATGTACAGATGAAGGTTCAAAGGAGAACTCACTTGGTCGGCTAGAATAGACTACAAGTGATGCACTGAACTTGCGACTGGGGTAGAAAATGTCTGGCGCCAAAATCCGAAATCAGCAGAGTGCTGCACATAGCTCGCGGGGCTCATTGAGAGATGTCAAGCTCACATACTACGTAACCCCGCTTGCTGGATTCAAAGTTCTCACCAGTTTCTGTCTGCATGAAAATGCAAGCATTTGCTAATTTTCTCTAGGACGATACGCATGTATCGTGCTGGGGCCCTGGTGCGGAAAGATCGACCGAGATAGGGCATGCATTCACGGCCGAGAACGACACGACTTGCAGGGCCATCTCCATAACTCTTGCTGAACAGCCTATCAAATATGACATGAGGAATTTGAGTTTCGGTTTGATTGCCATTTGTATCTGACCAACGCACCAACAGGGCCTATGCAGTGGCCGTCACTCGTTCGGCCGTACCAACCAACTACCAAGTGACAAATGACACCAACATGTCTGAATTTGGAACTCGCTTCTATTCTTATCATGACTCAGCCACTGCAATTTCGACAACTGTCGTCACCTTCTCAGCTCTCCCCTCGCGCAGCGACTGGGCCCTTGACGCCTTGACTGCTTCCTCAAATGTGTTGTGAAATGTACAGTCCCACAAACTGGATAAGTCCACTTGACCCAGGTTCCAACGCTTCTGTACAAGGTCGTTTGCTAGCGCGTTAAGAGGCTCGCTGGCTGGTGCGAGTATGATTGGGTCATCGCTTCTTCTGAAAGCCATGAGGGAGCCTAATCTGGTCTTCAGGTCAGGTGTCACCTGGACATCAGGCAACAATTCGAAGTCTTCCTCTGTATCCCTAGTCAGAAGAACACACGCTCGAAAAAGCGTCATAATCCCGTTCTGCTGAGACTCGTTCTCTTGCAGAGACCATTGCGCGAGGGGATAGTTGCTCCACTCGTCGCAGGGGTTGTTTCCCACAACCTTGGCCGCATGCGTGGTCACCTTCTCGACGGACCTCTCGGCACGCAGGTTGGTGTTGACATTCACAACAGCGCCTCCCGAAACCCCGCCCTCCCCTCCCACTGTCTTGGTCACCGTTTCTGTGGTCTGCATCATGACGTGTTTTCCAAAAGGCGCCACTTTGGTGACTGTCGGGCCTATGCTGGCGCTGCCTTTCTTTGCCCGGAACTCGAACGATATGTTGGCCTCCTTGATACGGGTCGATCGGTGCGAGAAGAACGAAAAGTCGTACACCAGCAGTGTTGCTGGTGTGTGGGAGTCTTGGTCTAAAGTGCCGTGAATGATAGCTTTGGCGATGGCACCAACGTTGAAAGCTGGCTTTCTCCTGGAACCCAAGTGGAATTGAGTTGCTACAGTTCGCTGGGTTTCGCCATGTCTGTTTCGAACATGGAAGCCTGCGTTCGATGAGATCAAAGGACGCTTCTGTGCGGGTCAAGGACTCTATTTACCTCCTGACTGACCTTGCGGTCTCATATCCATTGTAAAGGAGGTGGCATCTTCAGAAATCGACTCATAGCCCACGATCTCGTCCGATTCCGAGTCAGTACTAATACAGAGCTCAGAATCGTCAAGTTCGTTCATATTTGAGTTACTTGAGTTGACGATATCGTTGGTGTCGCAAGGTAACGAGACTGCAAGGTGAAGACAAATTTCCTACAGCTGTCTCAAATATTACCGCAATGTACAGCTGATTTAACCTAATGAGTGCAAATAATGACGAGATCATCTACTCCGCATTTGGCGACGGGGCAAATTCCCAGCGAAATTTTCTATTTTCGTCGTCTCTGGAACCCGTTGGCGCTAGTGTTGGTCCTTCATGCATGGTGTGATGTTGTGACTTGGAGTGGCCTGCATGCTTTTAACAGCGTGAGTACAGCCCTCCTACAGGGGCTTTGCCTCGCTGCCTGTTGGCAGAAAGACACATCATCTGCTGCAAAGGTCTTTTGACTGATCGCGGGACTAGCAGTAATTTTGGGGCTTTCTGCTTTGATCTCAAGGGCGCAGTGTTTGCGAACTCCCGCTGTCACACTTCCGTCTGTAGTCGGTTGAACGCCATCTGCCTTTGAAGACTCAGGTATGTGATAGCAAGATTTTATTCGTTTCCCAAGCTTACTGCTGTTTTCACACATTGAACGCTTATACGCTTTTGATCAGCTCCTATCTAGCATGACTGGGCAGGTCCTAGCGCATGTGTTTGAAAGAATCACCTGGGATCAGCCGTCAGAAGACAGTGCCGCCATGACTGTTGAAGATGTACCACCCTCAGCACGGCATACTTCAGAAACGGAATCAAAAACCCATCCCGAAAAAGAGAATGACGCCGTTGGGGATGATGTCGCATTGTCATATATGCGGTTGAAGAACAGCCACTCACCCAGGGAGAGTGAGGATGGCTCCAACATCATCAAGTACGCCGCGCCGGAGCACATGAAATGTGAGGTGGCCAGAACTGACGCATTGTTTCTTCACAGTATCGTACATGTCGCATGCTTCCGGCCTGAGGTTCAGATGTTCGGCCGTGAGCACCTGCTCTCTGACAAGCTCAATGAGATTGAGACCAGAGAACTCGTGTTTCAAGTGGAGATCAATGACCTTCTTGTCGGGGAGATGGTGCAGGAATGCGTAGAGGATCAAGCCAAGTGCCTCCTCCGCGGGCTCTTGGCAACAAGGGCTGGCACCTCAGTAAGTCAAGTCCATCACCTAAGCGTCGCGCTTAATACTAAACAGCTCTTCATTAAGAACAAAAGCCCAACGATAATCTTTGTAGCGTATGATCTAGGATCTGTCGTTGTTAAGATGGTAAGTTAGGCCTGCATTATAAACCCAACTTTCAGTGCTAGTTACTCACACTAGGCAATTTACTGGAATGACAGGCTCTCTACTTGGCAGCCAGCTTTCCAAGCATGTATCCGGATATTTTCTTTGATACCAGAAGAATAGTAAGGATAGAGTCTAGGATGATTTGATTCCATGTGAAGGCTAACGAAGTTAAGGTATTTTCAGGATGTCCACAACGTGGGGTGAATGAAAGCGAGTTGGCTGTCAAGCTCGGCAATTTTCTGGTCGATCAAAGCAACGAAAAGGCCATGTTCAGCATCATTTCCACGTCTATACGCAGTCTTGCAGCTTGAATTTTTAGAACAAATCAGCTGTTCTTGATGTCCAAAATCAGTCTTCGCTGCCTCATTATCAGCCTACATGCCCCCAGCGAGAAGCAGGAGACATTGCATCATGTGAGACAGGAGGTTCTAGACCGAATCTCAACAGCCAGCGATTCTGACAAGTGAAGTAGACTCTGGATGAATTCACTGCGACTATGGGACTGCCATCTGAAGTTATCATCCAAGAAACAGTTAGAGTGCTATCAAAGAAAGAACTACCCATGGAGTGGAGGTTCTGCAACCTATCTAAAACGATTTCCAAGCATTTTTTGGGTAAGTCTGTTCACTACAGTGAGAAGAATTTTGCAAAGTATCAATGAACTAACTCATGCCAGTCTCTTCGTTGCTTGCCCCATGGGTCGCCACAGAGAAATTTCTCCTTTCCATTTCTGCCCATTCGCGCCAGCTGCGGCCCAGGAGCCAGGATGAAGACACTCATGGGCTAGGACCGAAAATTGAGTCAAGCCCTTCTTACCGAGAATGGACAAGCTCTATTGGGAACAAGATTATCTACGTCCACGGTGACTCAACTACAACGACTCACGACGTGGCCGACTATATCTTTGCTTCACATGTAAAGACTCTGAGAGAAAGCGAGACCTTTTCTACGAATCGGGCCTACATGTATACATTTGACTCACGAGATCCTCTTCATGATTCAATTCCAAGCCTGGTTGCTGGCATGCTTCTTCAATCTGTCGTCAGCCGAGGGTGTCGAAGGGACGAGTGTCAACAGCTGCAAGAACCATTCCTTATGCGTGAGCAACCCCATTCAAAGTACTTCATATGAAATATTGAGAGTGCTAACTAATTGATGCAACAGAGGCTGGTTGGGGAGACACCTCATGTCAAGTGGCTTTGGAGACACTTAAGATGACGTGCCTCGGTCAAGGACTAGTCTTACTTCTTCATGACTTTGATGAGTGCAACTCGGATAGTAGAAGGCGATTCCTAGAATACTATGGAGACATAGCGGACAAGACTGAGCATGAATTCAAGCTGATAATCACTTCGAGAAAGCCTGATATTCTGTTGTCAGAGCTTGCAGCATGGCCTAAGCTGAATGTGGACGAGCTCCCTTCGAAAGCCACCACCCCAATCATCAGAGTCACCCAAAAATCCGATTCGTCGATTACAGTTTCAAACATGGAAGATGCGGTATGGAAGCATCTTCATGGTCTTCGTACTCACCATGAAGACTCGACGCTTCAGACAATCCTTCGAATCGTCCAAAACTACACGGGCTGGCCCGAACTCCGATCAAGAGCATCTCTGACGGTAGCCTCTCGACTTTTACAATCTGTCTCTCCTACCGACACTGTCAGAACCTTTCTGCACAGATTACTGAAATCTAGTGATCACTTAGAGGATGTTAAGTGGGCCTTGAGCTGGTTACTTTGTAGTTATCGACCGCTGAACGGACAAGAGTTTGCCTTTGTCTGCAACAGGAGACGCCCTTACGAGCCGCGCGATGAGGAGGATGCTGGTTCACTCTGGGTTTCAGTTGATCTGGCATCAAGTCTGCCGACATGGCTGATCTCTGTGCTTCGTATTCTCGTTGACACAGAGAAGGAGCCGGTTGAGATCCGTGGTGATGTCAGGAACCTTTTGGAGCACGACCCCGGAGCCGAAGAATGCATATGGGACGAGGTCAAATCGACGGCACATTATACTCTGTTCGAGTTCTGTGCCAACTATCTCACAGCAAAGCACACTGTTGAGAAGTTGGAAGTCGTGCTCAAGAACTATAACACACTGTGGCAAACCAATCAGCAGGGAAAGAAACCCACTGCGCCCTTGGACTGCGACAACAACGACATCGTCTACTATGCCATACAGGCACTGCCTTATCATATGTCCAAGCTGAGAGACTCTGCCTCGGCATTGAAAAGATTTTGCGCTCACGGGGGAGGGAGAGCTTCGACCGTATGGGCAAAGTTGTACTGGGCAATGAGCAGCTTGCGAACCAGCAACCCACCAGCATCGGCACAAGGGGTTTTGGGTGGCCTTGGATTGACTCCTTTTGCGGAGGTGAGAGAAGAAGCAATTGAAGTGAGGGCAGAATACGCTCTCATGAAAATCCTCCAAGGCAGAGGGGGCGAGATATGGTTGCTCCTTGATGAAGGGCAGTTCTCGCTCTTTGCCTTGGAAGATATTCTCGCCACTTCCATTCAAGCTGGTGAGGAAGAAACAGCCCGAAAAGCAGCAAAAGGCATAACATCAGACCCCAATTGGAGGACTAAAGCCTTCTCGTCGATGGAAAAGGCAATCTGGGCAGCAACGTGGCTAGGAATGTCAGCCCTCGTGGATGATCTATTGCACGCTGGAATTAGCCCGAACTTGACTTCGATGCCCCATGAGGCTGCATACAGCACTTTGCGGCATCCAAGTCTCATCTATATGGCCACGAGTCGTGGTCACATAGATGTTGTCCGGTCTCTCATGAACCATGGAGCGAAGATAGACGTCATTGGGCCAGGTCAAGAAGACAATCTCCTTGCCGCTGCGTTCTCCGGGCATCTTGACTTGATCCGGCTTTTCTCCAGTCCTGCTGACTCTCCTAAGATGCTGCATCGCAAGAGTTCTGGTCATTTCGTGGCAGCTGAAAGGGGACATTGGCGGGCGGTGAGCTTGCTGATTCAACTTGGGGCAGATCCTAATTCATCCCGTGGCTCGCCCTCCGACGACTACCGCGAATGGAGTCCTCTCGCGATAGCATGCAGAAACCAGTGGCCAAAGACAATGGAGGCGCTCTTGCAAGAAGGCGCCGACCCAAACATTCTGGGGCCGTATGGTGTGGATACGCCGCTTTGGTTTTGCACCGTCGATGAGCCCAACCTCCAATGTGTTCGTTGTCTGGTGCAATTCGGAGCGGATTCCAACCATGACAACTTCTCTCCGCCGTTACTACACGAGATGGCAAAGTCGGCACACAAAGTCAACATTCTCATCGATATTTGCGACATGCTCCTTTCAGGCAAGAGTGCGATCAACATTAATGCAGCAGCCGCCGACGGCGAAACTGCTCTGATGCAAGCATGCCGTACGGGAAAAATGCCACTCGTTCGCTGGCTACTTACAAAAAACGCAAACATCAATGCTGTCAACGATTCTGGACAAGATGCTATGAGATGTGCCATCTGGCATGGCCGACTGGACATCGTGGCAGAACTCCTCAAGCACAATCCTGAGGGGTGTCAACTTGTCCCGGCTGCTACTGATGATCCTGTCAACACTTTTGGACCATTCACTTATCTCACATTGGCTGCGCATAGTGGAAGAACTGAAATAGTTGAGCTATTGGTGTCAAAGGGGCTTGATGTGAACCAGCTCGATGGCTGGCAAATGCCGCCTGTCCGTTACGCGATCGACAGATCCAAATTGGTCACTGACACGAGGCTATTTCGACAGCTGATCGAA